GAAAAAAAAGACAGCTCCCAAAGTGGAGCATATGCGCAGTTAGTAGCAGATCTAGACAAGAACCACTGGAGCATGTGGGAGGATGGAGAAAGTATTGCGGAGGAAAAGAAGAAATGTTGCCTCCAAGCCAACAAATGCTCCAAAACTTCATATCCTTACATTTCATTGAGAAGTTCAAGCATAAAAATGTGCTAATAAAACTAGAAAAACTTTATATAAGCAATTCACATTTACTAAATGTCAAGTATAACATGTTTATCTACTGACAATATTACACAGAAAACCTGTCTTTTTTTTTTCTTTTTAATAATTGCCAAACAGGTTTGATTGGAGATGTTGAGTTGATCTTTCTCTTGACTTTAAAAGAATAAGCATTAATTACATGCTTTATAGTATCTGCAACCCCTGAAGACACAAAGTGCTCTTTAATTATCAAGTTTCTCTTCTTGCAAAGGTTAGGTGGAAATATAGTAGCATTTATCCCCCTCAAAAACAACAACAGTTTTTTTAAAAATTAGTATGGTATTTTATATTAGACAAATAAACACAAAGGTAACCAATAAAAATAACTTATATTACCATGAACACCTTGACTGCCTCTCAACTCTCACAATAAACGCCTGAAGTGGGACCCCCTCCCCACATCAAATAAAGGCCTTAGAGACAGCAGAGTGAATTCATGCTGTTACGAGACATATTTAAGCCTGGAATTAAACTGAAATCTAAGTCTGCTTTCCTTTATGCGCCACTTAGTCTTATTGCTGGTATAAAAGTAACTGCGGTTTTGGATTGTGAATTTTAGATTATCATTAGGCTCAAACACATCTTTATTAATCAAGATAGGAACCATTACAATCCACACACTTTTGCCAACAGAAATAAGTTTATTTACTCCTGTAGTATAAAAATCCATGCTTCAGGATTCAACGGACTCTTGGAAACCATTTTCTGCCTCCTGCTGGTTATGGCAATGTTTTCCCTACAAAAAGCTGTCAAGATGCTTGAAGAAGTGGTAGTCGATCGGTGAGAGGTCGAACAAGGCAGAAGAACCCTGCAGCCCAGCTTCTGAAGCCTTGGTTTTGTGACATGCGGTGGGCGCTGTCATGGGGAAGAGCTGGGCCCGTTTGCTGCCCAGTGCTGGCAGCAGGTGTAACAGTTTTCAGTGCGTCTCACCCATTTGCCGAGCACACTTCTCAGATACAGTGGTTTTGCCAGGATTCAGAAAGCTGGAGTGGATCAGACTGGCAGGAGACCACCAGTGTCCAAGACCACTTTTTTTGGGTGCAAGTTTGGTTTGGGGAAGTGCTTTGGAGCTTCTTCTTGGTCTAGCCACTGAGCTGGTCATCACTGGTTGTATAAAATCCACTTTTTGTCACACATCACAATCCGATCGAGAAATGGTTCATTGTTGTTGAAGAGAATAAGAGAAGATGACACTTCAAAACAATGATTTTGTTTTGACTTTTCAGTCAGCTCATGAGGCAGCCACTTACCGAGTTTCTTCACCTTTCCAATTTGCTTCAAATGCAAATGAATGTAGAATGGCTGATGATGAGTTCTTTGGCAACTTCTTATGTAGTTCTAAGAAGATCTGCCTTGATAATTGCTCTCAATGCCTGTTGCTAACTTCCAATGGGCAGCCACTAAGCCCGCCATCTTCAAGGCTCTCGCCTCCTTTCCAAAACTTCTTGAATTTCCACTGCATTATATGTTCGTTAGCAGTTCCTTGGCCACATGCATTGCTGATGTTGTGAACTGTCTCTGCTGCTTTACGACCCATTTTGAATTCGAATTAAAAAATTGCTCAAATTTGCTTTTTGTCTAACATCATTTTTATAGTCTTAAAATAAATGTAAAACAAACAGCAAGTAGTAAACAACACTTACCCTGAGTTTAGGCAATGAATGCAATGTGATACTTTTTTTATTCTTCAACAGAATAAATCCTCATCGATTACAGCTTACTACATGGGTTATTCCACCTACTACTGGTCCTNTGACTTTCCAGCTGAAGCTCCAATACTTTGGCCACATGATGCGAAGAGCTGACTCATTTGAAAAGACCCTGATGCTGGGAAAGATTGAGGGCAGGAGGAGGAGGGGATGATAGAGGATGAGATGGCTGGATGGCATCACTGACTCAATGGACATGGGTCTGGGAGGACTCCAGGAGTTGGTGATGGACAGGGAGGCCTGGCGTGCTGTGGTTTATGGTTTGTCGCAAAGAGTTGGACACGACTGAGCGACTGAACTGAACTGAATGAGGAAAATAACTGTGGTGCTGGAGAAGACTCTTAAGTGTCCCTTCCTGTAAAGAGATCAAACCAGTCAATCCAAAGAGAAATTATCCCTGAATACTTACCGAAAGGACTGATGCTAAAGTTAGAGCTCCAAAACTCTGGCCACTAATGTGAAGAGTCAACTCATTGGAAAAGACCCTGATGCTGGGAAAGACTGAAGTTAAAAGAGAAGGGGGTGACAGAGGATGAGATAATTGGATAGCATCACTGACACAACAGACATAAATTTGAGCAAACTCCAGGAGAGAGAGGAGGACAGAGGAGCCTGGTGTGTTGCAGTCCACAGGGTTGCAGAGGCTGGACACAGCTCAGTGACTGAACAACAGATGAGGAAAAGAGAAGGATGGGTGTACTGAGCCTGCCTCTGATAAGGTGACAGTTATGGGGGGCTGCTGTCACTGCGAGCTGTTTCTACCACAGGTGCAAAGTGGTACAAGGGGTCAGCAGGACACCTCCTAAGTTGAAGTCCATAAAGTCTGCCTGTGGACAGCGGACATAATCCTCTGGGCTCGCCCAGAGCAAAGCAGGAGGCCAGCAGCTCAGACAGGCGGGTGGACAGGCATCCAGACCGCAGAGAGAAGGCAGGCCCCCAGCAGGGCATCTGCAGTGGCCACCCACTTCCAGCCCAGGGCTGATCACTGACAGAAAAAAGTGAGCTTTGAAAAGCAGGTTCAGATGTTTTAAGAAAGACACAAGAATTACTTTAAACAAAAAATTATTTTTTCAAGCAGAAGAAACATCACCTGCCAGGTTCCTCCTGGACAAAACCTCAAAGCTACTCTAATACACGAAACAAGGGAGCTGCCGCCCCAGGGAGGAGGGCTGCACCCCCCCAACCCCCAAACACCTCCCTCCTCACCTCCAGGCCTTGGCTCCAGCACAGAACCCTAGAGAAAAGCAGTGATGCGGTAACTGCCACGCGTGTTTAAGGATCCTGGCCAAAGGCACCAAACTGCTTCATTGTCTCAAACGTCTGCTGGCTCCCCCACTCTCTAATCTCACCCCAATACAGAACCCCCCAAAGCTCTCATGTACCACCTGCCACCAAAAACCCACGAAAACAAGGTCTCTCAACCTGCCCCTTCACATGCGACCCTCTTCCTTCTACCAAACGGATGGACAGTTAGACATAAACAAACCTTGGCCAGGCCGCCCGCGCCCTCCCTTCTCACTGTCTACCACTCCTCCTGTTGTTATGGCCCATGGAGAAAGCACAACAACTAAACCCTTCCATACCAACTCTACGAGAAACTATGATTTCAGGGAACCGACTGGAATATCACAAGTTCTGTGTTTCTTAAAATGTACAAGAACATGTTTTAGCATAGCTAAATTATTGCCTAACTCTTTCCTTCTTACAAGAAACTTCCATGGATGTAAGAGCTGGACCATAAAGAAAGCAGAGCGCTGAAAAATTGATGCTTTTGAACTGTGGTGTTGGAAAAGACTCTTGAGAGTCCCTTGGACTGCAAGGAGATCAAACCAGTCAATCCTAAAGGAAATCAACCCTAAATATTCATTGGAAGGACTGATGCTAAAGCTGAAACTCCAATACTTTGGCTACCTGATGTGAAGAGCTGAGTCATCAGAAAAGACCCTGATACTGGGAAAGAGTGAAGGCAGGAGAAGAAGGGGACAACAGAGGATGAGATGGTTGGATGGCATCACCGACTCGATGGACATGAGTTTGAGCAAGCTCTGGGAATTGGTGATGGACAGGGAGGCCTGGCGTGCTGCAGCCCCTGGGGTTGCAAAAAATCGGATATGACTGAGTGACTGAATTGAACTGAAAGCTGAATTATTGCTTAACTCTTTCCTTCTTATAAGAAATTCCCAAATGGTTCTGACTCATCAACTCTGTGAATGCAGAGGAAAAGGGCAGCCTTGGCTTCGTATCTGATCAGCCCTGGTGTCCTAGGACCTATCAAGGGAGGACCACATGGAAGGATTAGTGGTGCTGTTACATGTTTATTCCACACTGAGATGTTTTCTGTGTTGAAGGTGAAACAGACTATCCAATTTTCTTTGGAGAAAGTGTCCTTTACATTTTTAAAAATGAGGGCTTTCTGAGAAACTGACACTTTAACAAAGGGTGAAATTAAATAATTTATATCGTGCTGAATGGGGAAAAAACTGCTTCTAGGAAAAACAAACTGAAGAGAATTAGGAGAATAAGAAGAGAGTAATTCCTTGAAGAAAGTTATCTGAATGGAACATAAATGGGAATTGTTGCTCGTGCTGTGTAGCCGCCAGTAGTGTCCACCTCATCTGTGGTCCCGTGGACGGGCAGCCTGGTGGGCAAGGGCCCCTCTCTCCGCGGGATTCTCCAGGCAAGAAGACTTGGAGTGAGTTGCCATTTCCTCCTCCAGGGGATCTTCCTGACCCAGGGACCAAACCCATGACCTCCTGCATCGGCAGGTGGATTCTTTACCACTGAGCCACCAGGGAAGACTCAAACAGGAATTCAGCAAGGTTAATAAACAGCGAAGTTACAGATCACTGGGTCTGACACTGAAAAATGCACCTTTTAAAGACTCTTCCTATCTGGGAATTCCTATCCCACCTAATTATTCATGATCCCATTATTTCCAATATTTTAAAAACTCCACTCAAGCAGTTCACATTGTTTTTAACAGAATTAACATGTTGACATAATTTTTAAAATGATGGCAAGTAGTTAAAAAAACCCCCAAAACAGTACCTTTTCCAATTCTCTTGGTATTCGCATACAAGTGTACACTCTTTCTCTTCTTTCTGTATACTTGGCCTCATTATGTTCAAGGAAGTACCCTCTGGTTAGTTCAGCGCTGAGGAACCTCAACAGTGAAAGCTCTACAAGAAAAAAAATGACAAAAAAAAAAGAACAGCATTTATCAAGGAACTTCCATGGCTAGCTGGGGCCCCAGGTAATACATACATAAAACAAGATAATAAAACAAAGTAATCTACATTTCCGCGCCCAGCTGAACTGCACATAAGCCATCAGCAGAGTGAGAAAACTACTGTTTTTGTGAGATAGTAACTGAAAATGTCAGGGGGATACACCAGGGGCCACTGCTATAAGCCAGAATATAAGTCAGAAGTTCTCTGTGAGAGTCTCGTGAGGGGTCTTAGGTGATAGAGGGCCTGGGCTGATGCAGAGTAGAAGGCAGGGGAAAAGATACTACACACACAGAGTGGGTACCGAGCACATAGAAAATGGAGACACACACATACACACACACGCACCCAAGAGGCGCTCCTCCAGCCCAGGAGTAAGCTGGGGTGAAGTACACACTCTACACTGGTGCAAATTCTTCTTCAGCCTCAGAGATGCTGCCAGTGTCTAAATAACACCACTTCCCCAGGTGAAGGCTTCCCAACACAATGGTGACTGTGAGTCACACAAGACAGAACCTCAACCCCGTCTGAAGACCGCGCTCCCGTGGACCTGTCCACCTGTTTTCCATTCCTCTGATGCAGATTCACCCTCCATCGTCTCATCTCAGCTGAGGAAAGAAAGGCCGGAGGAGGCTGAACACTTTCCACTGGGCTGTATCTGGCAGACCTGGGATGCCCAGTAAGGCTGTTACCTGATCCCAATGTTTCCACCGTGTGAGCAACACTTCCTGGAAGCCCACCGCCTGTGTGGCCGCTCAGCCCCCGATCAGACCCCTCCCTCCCTCCTCTCACTCTCTGGGAGGCCGTCCTCTCTTCCCGGACTCAGGACACCAAGGGCTGCAAACCAGCCTCTCTGCTCCGAGCTGGACTCATGGTCCTTTCCCAAACCCCATGCTGGTGTTCTCACACAGACAACAAAGCAGGGAGGTCAATTTCACTTACGAGTGTCCACCTGTGGAGTTATGCCTTATGTGATGCTAGGATTTAAAGGCTGCAGGGGTGGGGACGACTGCACAGTCCTAAACACTCTGGAAGAACCTTCAGGAAGACTCAGAAGTGGACTTACTACCTCTCTGGGCCTAAAACAGCTGACTTCTTCCAGCACTGGGACAGACAGTAGTTCTTTGAACATCAGGTGAAGTGGCTTGCTTATATGCAGAAGTGAGAGTCCCACCTACCTCCAAATCACAGATTTCTTTAAATATAAGATTCATAATCGACTTGGAGAGTCAGTGGTATCATGAAAGCCACCTGGATACTCAAAGAGGTGGAGAGAGAACCCAACCTGTGCCTACTGCAGCTGGGCAGAGAGGCAGGTCAGATCACACAGTGACCATGAGCGTGGCGCTCTCAGGACACTACGGCTGAAACCACGGAGACAAGGTGTGAACCCCACCATATGTGCCTCAAGGCAACCATATCCGTGCGGAGTGAAACTTCTGGCTCGGAACTTTCTAACATGTTGGTGGCGGGCTAGATCCAGCACAAGATCTACTGCATGAAGGAGAGAAAAAAAATTGAGTGTTTTGTGCTGTAAACAAGGACAGCTAAAGTGGAAGAGAAAGATAAAACAGTTAAGACTTGAACGCAGTTCGATTTTCCAATTGGACAGAGGAGAGATGCTCTCATTAGCGAATATCTATAAATATCAGTTCTTTCATGTGAATGAATGCTGGGAAGCCACGGGACATTCAGGAAGCAGAAGGAACTGCTCTGGCACAAACTGGCACCGAGGCCAGAAAGCGGGATCACAAGCCCTGAGGGTCGTGTCATGAGACTCCCTGGTCTTCCTGCACCTGATCCTGAAGGCCTTGCGGGTCTGGTTGGGGGCTCTGGTTCCCTACAGGCTTCCCAGGAACCTGCCTGCTAATGCAGGTAGATGCCAGAGATAAAGGTTCCATCCCTGGATCAGGAAGATCCCCTGGAGGAGGCAACCCACTCCAGTCTTCTTGCCTGGAGATCCCACGGACAGAGGTGCCTGGCGGGCCACAGCCCAGGGGCTGCACAGAATCGGACATGACTGAGTGATTTCGCACACGCACGCATGCAACAGAGCAAGGCCACAGTAAAATTCCGGCCGCCCTTTAAGGCCATACTGTTTCATGTGTCACCAGGTACCTTGCCTTTCCTCTTTTCTTTCTTTCCTACACATACTCTCCTGGGGCGGTCTAAGGTCAAAGCCATCACCTCAATCCTGATGTTGCCATAGCTTCCGTTTTTGACTCCTGAGCATGGACTCCTATTTCCCACTGCCTTATGGGCAACTCCACCTAGAAATTCCAAAGGCACCTTTAGCCAGCAAACTGCACCCCACCCTTTCCCCATTGAGCCCACTAGCGCAGCCCCACCGTTAGTTCAGGGCTCACCAGTGACCCGGCTCCAGGAAGACTCCCCGGGTTTTCCCTAGAGCCCGGGTACACACGCTCCCATTCGGGGTTCTCCTTTCTTCCCTCTGCACCCTCAGGGTGCAGCGCTGAAGAGCGGCTCAGCAGCGCTCCCTGAACGAACGTGTGGCTCAGAGCAGAGGAAGGCAGTCACAGAGGAGGGTGTAGCGGCGAGCAAAGAGCGGAGAGGCTGCGGAAGCAGAGCGCGGCAGCTTCTCGGGCACAGCGCCCGGGACTGGGGCAGGTGTGCTGTGAGACGCAGGCGCTCTCAGCAGGGAAGAGCTCGAGCATCCGGTCAGTGAGCATCCAAAGGACGGTCCCCGACAGGCACCTGCCCTCCGCCCCAGGGGCACGGCCAGTAAGGGCAGGGAGTGGAGCTGGGGGGCGCGCGCTAGTACCTGGGCATGTGAAGGATTAGATAAACAGGCTGTCACACGAGTTTACATTTTGAAAAGCAAATTAAACCGAAAGGCTGGGATGAGTGTCCGAGTGGTCAGGCCACTCAAGATGGCTGTCCTCTTGCTCTCTGTCCATGCCCTGACGACCAGGGCCTGCTTCACCTGTGTCGCAGGCGCAGGGCTGACCTTCCTGCAGAGCCGCCCCCGGCCCAGCCGGCCCCAGCCAGTGCTGTCAAAGGGCGGGGAGGGGCGTGGCCCTCGGCTGGTTTCCCTGGTAACCAAAGAGCCCCCTTCTCCCTGCAAGCCGAACCCGCCACCGCCACCGTGTGACTGTGTGTGCTGGACTTCGCTTCACACATGTAAGCGCCCCCTCCCCTCAACCATTTTAAACCACTGAGGTCCCTGTTGCCAAGTCCTGGCTCTTCCTTCGGTCCTGAACCTGGGCAAGCTCAGGCTGGGTGGGCCCAGGGGCTGCAGCCCGACCCTGTACCCTTGTTTATTTAGGAAGTTATCCTCCGGACTGGTGTCCTCCCCGGGCCCGCAGATGACGGAGCTTCCTCCAGAGAGAGGGTTTTGTCCTGGTCCAGCGGAGGGCACAGGAAGAGCAGTCAGATGAGGGCGGATCCGCACTGGTTCTGTCCCCACTGGTCCTGGGACCCCGCTCGACCCACAGATCTCAACATCACAGAAAAGTGAAACGAGGCTCTGAGCGGTTTTACAACACCTGTTATCTGCTTGTCACTCACAAAGGATGTTCGAGGGACTGGGTGTGAAAGGGTGTGAAGACCGCAAGGCATGACACGCTCTCCGGAACCACTTACTAGTAACTTCACATGGTCCACACAGCACTAGCCAATCCGAGTTTGGTGGTCACCTAATGCTTACAGCTATGTCTGCAATCCTGTTTCCAAGGATAAAAGGGAACACATCTAACAAGCATATTTAACAAACTATATAACCTAAGGTATTTTCCTTAAACAAGTTTTAAAAAATTATAAAATATAAACCTATAAAGGTGTTTTAACTCTATTATAAATGTGAAGTACTGTATCAGGATTCTACCTCTAGAAATGCAAGAATTTCAGTTGTAAACACCAATTTTGATTCTCCAATGGAAAATCTGACAGTAAACCCAAGCATTAAAGGACAAAACATGTTTTGGGTACACAGTTCTCATAACCATGAGACAGGCTTTATCATCACGCCCATCTTATAGATGAAGAAACTGAGGCACAGAGAAGTGAAGGAGGCCCCCAACGTCACAGAAGAAGCAAACAGTACAGTCAGCATTCAAATCAAGCAGTCCAGCCCTAAAGCCTCTGCTTTCTGGCACTAGATTATTCTATCATTGTCTTAAGTGCTTTTGTAAATAGGCCACTGCGTTCTGGAAAACTGGGAACCCCCCCCCCCCTTCTCGGTGCTCCGAGCACCCTGGGTTTACCTCCCTGACGTTACACTGTTTACTAAGCAGCTCCCTCACCAGCGCTTAAGCTTTCTGAAACCAAGCGCCATGTATCCGGATCTTCCCGAAGTCCAGCCCCCAGTGAGTTGAGTGCAAGGGTAGGGTTTACCTATGATTAACACCATACCAGTGGGTTGGAGAACGGTTTTAAAAGAGACATTAAAGCAATCCTAACAAAAGCACCAAGTTTCGGGGGGTGAGACAGTTGGAAAGCNAATCCATCCTGAATATTCATTGGAAGGACTGATGCTGAAGCTCCAATACTTTGACCAACTGATTCGACAAGCGGATTCATTGGCAAAGACCCTGCTGCTGCAAAGACTGAAGGCAAAAGGAGAAGCAGACAGCAGAGGATGAGATAGTTAGATAGTATCACTGACTTGATAGACATGAATTTGAGCAAACCCCAGGAGATGGTGAAAGACAGGGAAGCATGGCGTGCTGCAGCCCCTGGAGCTGCAAACAGTTGGACACGGCTGAACGACTGAACACATACTCTCCCCTAGACCGTAATTATCATCCATCTACCTGACAATCATACTAGAGAAGATGACTGAGCCCTGACCTGGCTTCCGTCTCTCAGAAGGAGCCTCTGATTCACACTGCAGAAGGGGATTCTGTTGCCCTGTGGCCCGAGCTCCTAAGGTATAACAAGGTAGTCCTGCTGCTGTGTGGGTGCCCCACACCCCCACTAACCTTTTCCTGGTCATGGATATATTCTGCAGGATGCTACTTCTGTTCTGGAACCTTCCGTTCTGGAGCATAGCTGTGTTTCAGTGTTTTTGTTTGTCGTTGCTGTTGTTTTAAACACTGTTTTCTCCATTCTACGGACATACCTGAACTCACTTGTCCTGTGATACTGGCAGACTGCCTGGCTAATTATTCAGGAAGATGACTACTGCTCTTTGACCTGTGGCTGCCATTCTTTAAGAACTCGGCTGGCTCAATGGACCAGAGCTCCCAAGGACAGAAGGGCTGGCGGGTGACAGTCCACAGGGTCGCAAAGAGCTGGACACGACTCAGGAACTGAGCTTTCTCCACGCTGTGCTGGGGCTTCATCCCTTCTTAGCAAGACTGACTTTCATTTGTTATGTCAAACATCTGTCTTTATAGTGTAAGTGCAAATCATTTTCCAAAATAAAAGAACCCAATTGTTTGTTTTCTCAATACTGTTTGAGCTTTTCAGATGTCAACCAATTAGTTCATTTATCCAGTTCTCACCAAGAAGAAATATTATTCAGTAAAATTCTTTTAAAAATAGAAGTATTTCACTATTTACTAGAAATAAGAGCTTCTACATTTGAATAAGTAAGCCTTGCCAGTTATGAACATTTAACACTAGGAAAATAATATCAATCATAAATCCGAATCAATTCCTCCAGATGATTTTTAATTAGTATACATCTACCACAGAGTTGCTTGGTGATCCACTATCCTAAATTGAGAAAAAGTACAGTATAAAAGGCTTCCTCCTCATCCCTGAACAAAGAAATATTATGATTATTTTCTGAGAGAGCTTGTTTTAGAAATAAGAACTCAAGATAAAAAAGTATTAATTTGAAGTAATGAGTAATCATAAATATATTTACATGTTCAGTAATATGTCTAAATATAGCTTTCTTAAAATAGCATTGACCATTAAAAAAATTGGAAAGTAATATTGGCTAACTGCTAGGACAATACTATGAAACTTGCAAATCTCCATGATCTTAAATAATGTGAGCCTTAATAGGCTTTACTAAAGTTACACTAAAATATTAGTTACAAGCTTATTACACAAATACAAAGGCACACCCTTGTACAAGGCCAAGTAGGAATCAAAAATGATAGCAATTTTGCTTTCCTAAGTCAAATATAGTAAAGGTACGTCTTAAGCTGTTAAACCTCTCAAACTGCTTATAAATAATCTCATTTAGGGAAGTAAACAACAGAAAAGATACTCATAAATTTAGAGGTGGAAAAACAGATATAAAAAGAGTATCTTTTCCCAAGGATACAAGGTTATAAAGGACTAAAAAGGGAACAGAGTATCAATAACTTGTCAGTCAATTATATACAGTCTTTTCAAAGACCTCTTTCATGCAAGGGTTCCCCAAAGTGGGCTGCAAATGAGCTTCTAGGACTGAATTTTGGAGGGCAAACCAGATGAAAGCTTAACATCTTAAAAAAGGTCAAGATATTGACCTGGTCAAAGATCATACCATTGCTTTTCAGTTTGCAGGTACTAGTTAAATAAAAGAAGTGAGAATTTTTTTAAAAAAGCAATCATCTGTCACAAGAAAAGAAGCTAATTTTACATTATCTGTATCAGGGTTGTGTCACTCCAGGTAATTTCTTAGGCAGTTTTACAACTATTCTTAATTTCCTTTGTAGATGAGAAACTGATTTACTCTAGGGTGTAATTTTCCAAATCACAGCCTTTGATCGTCCATCAGGATAAGTCTCAGGCCACAAGGATAACTATGTAACATGTTTTATAGAGGATTAGGACTGGTTAAATGAAAATGTATTTTAACATATTAAACTTTCAATTACACAACAGGACATGGTGAATCTGAACCTCAGCCCCAGACGAAAATTGTGGGAGCTGCTAAAAAGGCGTCAGTTGGTTTTTCTGGGCTTTAGTTTTCCTTCCTTTGTTCACTCTCTCATGGAGGTAAGCAAGAGGTCTAAAATGCAAAGAAAGTGAAGAGAAGCAAAAGGGGTGGTAACAAGTTTAAGCTCCAGAAGTGACGAGTCACCACTGAGAAAGGAACGAAACGGGCCCCACGGCACTGGGGCCATTTACAGTCAGAAGCCCTATGTTCACCCATGCCCTACTCCACGTTCATTTTATAAGCAAGGCCTGCTCCTGTGCATACTCCAGTACCTGCATCACACAGTCACTGCTCCATGGGCACCAGTAGACGCTGTGTTTACTCTGCACCAGGTCTTCTATTGTTAAGTCTCCAGTCATTAGAGCCAACTTAGATACTTTGGACACTAACCCACTGAGTGGTGGAGTTAAGAAACAGAGCCAAGTAGATTAGGCAAGCACAGCGTCTACAAAGCAATTCAACGACCGAAATAAGCCAAGAATGCATTGCCCAACGCTTAGTCCAAAGTTGACTTGCTGGACCTAGATTCCTAAATGGGAACAGGGTCATACAGAAACTCTACCACTGAGAACTTCTGCAGGGCAGTGAGGTGGGGAACAAGCAGGGAAACACAGCAACATGTACTCTTTTTGAGAGGTGGGTGGGAACCTCCTGGCTGGCAGGATCTTAGTTCCCTGTTCAGGGATCAAACCCACGCCTTTGGCAGTGAAGGCGTGGAGTCCTGAAACCACTGGATCACCAGGGAAGTCCCAGTAATATGTACTTATTATCTGGTCTTATAGCAAAAAGGACAATAGTAGTTGGTCATAGTTTGTTTTAATTTTTACATTTTTATTGCAGTAAATATATATATATATATATATAAATGCTACCATTTTAACTATTCTTAAGTGTATAACTCACTCAGTGACATTAATACAGATTTTTAAGAAGAAGAAAAAAAGAAGAGATGAATCTGCAGCTCGTGATGACTAATATATCCAGAGTTCAAGACAGGGGAGCACATGAGGCAACGGTGGAATAGCTTTCAACACAGTGACCATCATGAGAGAGAGAACGAAACTGGGAGGGAGGAGTGGACTAGCCATTTCTAACCAGGGTTTAAGTACCAGCACCTGAGAAAAGTCTCAGTCTA